TACATTTCAAAGTAAATGCCACCGAGTTCCCTGGAAGTCTGTGGGTTTTTTAGTCTTTTTCAATTTGAATGAGTCTCCTAGTCCTGTTCCAGTTACGTGGTGCCCATTGCGGATGGGATCAAGTTGGGTCGTGGGCAATCGCCCCACTTATTGTTGCCTGAATACTAACGAGTCTGTTTTTGAGACGAGTCGGGCACAATTGACTTGGGCCATGATAGCTGCTTTGCACCCTCAATCTTGCCAGCAAACTGACCCAACCTGATCCCCCAAAGCTGCCAATGGCAAGGGCACCCCGTATTAAAACAGTTTAACTTTTAATAACTAGATCTAGAGTCTCACAGCGTTACCGCGTTTCTGTTTGGGTGTGCAACCCCCAGTCTCCTGCTTTGTTTTGGATAAGAACAGCGAAAACGAGGTCACTTTCTGTGAGCAGGCGTAGGATGCAGCTTATTTCACTTTCGTTTTGGAGGTTCCTGTCAACACACTTGGTTCTACGGTGTTGGAAAGTTTTGCCCCTTCATATTGATGGTTTTCGTAACGGTATCAGTGAATTTACAAAGCGCTTGAGTAGTCGATTATTTAGCATATCTAGTTAATCTAGCTCTAATGTATCGTAGAATGTATACTAGAATCGATAATTACTATCGCAGGCTGCTTCTTAATGCCCAGGAACATGCCAGATAGGGTTGCGCACTGAAGCAGACCAAATTTGTGCTGTCCGTTTCAGTGCGCAATATCGGCTTTTTTGCTATTTGGCATTGATAGTGTGGCTTCTAGGCCCTTTGTTTGTTTTACTTATTAAGTTATTTCTTTATGACCTGCATTGTGCACTGAAACAGTGTTTCGTACCTTCCATTAGGATGCATTATATTGCCATTGGAAGATGATCAGAATGTATTCATGTCAAAATTAATTAATATAATGGAAATTTAATCTCCAAAAAGTTCAATTTATTCTTTTCATGTCTTTTTCTTCTTCTTTTTTGTCCTTTTATATACTAGTCTAGGTATAGTCTAATTTTTGTTTTCTTCTTTCACCTCCTGTGTCCACAGCACCTTTCTACTTTCTTTTTCAATTTCTTCTTTTCACGTCTTTTTCTTCTTCTTTTTTGTCCCTTTCCTTTAAAAATACTAGTCTAGGTATAGTCTAATTCTTGTTTTCTTCTTTCCCCTTCTTGTGTCCACAGCACCTTTCTTTTTATCCATTATCAAAACACATACACACAGTATAAGGAAATCTCCTGAGGGGGCGCACAGCTCCGAAAAAGAACACGCCTCATTGACCTTGGCATTCCGTTACGGTCAGTACAGAACTTCTTGCAAGGAAAAGAAGACAAGGCCAGGATAGAGAAAGATGAAAAGTGTAAGAAAAGAGCTAGATCTAGATCTAGAGCTGTAAACATGGCACTATTGCGCACTCAGCCAGATGATATATGTTTCACCAAACAGACCTTGCGCATCAACCAGACACACGTTACTAAACAAACACCACCACAACATATAGGAATTTAAACTGCTGTTACAGTAATGAGCTACCCCGTATAGAGAGGAAGTCTTTCTAACTTCTGGTGAAAAAATCATGAAGATCGACCTGTAACTTCCAGATATATCCACAAAAGATCGCTTACGGTAATGGTATCACACCACAGGATCAACTCTATATAATATATATATAGATAG